CATTGAAGCTTGTGTAAGAGTGTTGTGCGCGAAAGGCTATAGTCCCCAAACTAACATGGCTTGCAAGGAATGTTTGGTCGAACTGTGCAGGGTGCTGGAGCTGAGTGTCATTTTTATAGTTGATTATGTTAAGGGTTCAAACCCGATGGGTTGTCCTTTTGACATTCGATTGCCTTGGTAGAACGTTCCTGTGACGTTCCATGAACTGTCCGGGGGACAGTCCATAGCGTTGCTAGAACAGTCTTTGGAACAGGTTCGAGACCGTTTCGTGTCCTGTGACTTTTCCGTTCAGGAAACGAGAACAGGATCGTAAAAGCTGGACACCTACCGGGCATGTTCGAAAACAATTGAAATGTTGTAACGTGCCTGTAACGCTTTTGATCCTGGATTTGGAACGTGTCACTTACCCCCTGGTGTATTCATGTCTTGCACAGAAGTTGCTCGAAACTTGCACAAATTTTTGCATAGGTTTGAGAACCATAAATGAACAAAGTCCCACGCTCGCCTCGAGCGAGACATTTTTCAAAATCTTGATATCCCCCATTTCCGATGGTAAATTTTATATTTCTCTTTTCTTCCAAAATTGTTCATCACCTTCTGACTTGCTTTTCTTGCTTATTCCCATGCAGATGCCTATGCACAGCCTCAAAGTCAAGCTGGTAGTGCTCCGCATGGTACTTTGAGGAATGCACTTTTGTGAAATCATTGAGTCAATTGGAATTCAACTCTCCTGTATTACCCGCAATCTTCTTACATGGAGTAATGGCGTGTAAGGTCCAGGCGGGTGGCTACTCAAAGATTGACTTTGAGGACTACCTTGACCAAGATCTTGTGAGTCTTATGATTTTGTTCTTTTTTTCTGTTTTTTTGTTTGCTTTCATGATACTCATTTGGATGTCATGAAATATGTAACAGTGTTTTGGTGATGGATAATGCACCAATCCATCACAACCATTGGGTAGCTGAACTTTGTGGGGCTTGTGGTGTTCAACTGGTGTACCTTCCAGCTTACAGCCTGGATCTCAACCCAAGTGAGAAAGCCTTCTCAATTTTGAAGGCCCCCTTGAGAAGGTCTCAAGTTCTCCAAAATGCCTTGAATCAAGACAAGGAAATGGCTGCCATCTTCCAAATGTGTATGATTATCATGATTGAATCTTCTGCTGAAGGACGGTTGTGGGTATATGTGATACTCTGACAATGTTGCTTATATGTCTGATCAATAACACATGCTGCATAATCAATTACTCAGCTTGCCAGCGTCAAGAAGTATGCCACTTGTGTCAGACCTCGAGGTCCTCATCCAAAATGAACTTATGGTCTTATAATGATTTCTTCATTTTCTCATTCTAATTATGGGATACAAAGTTAAATCTGGGAGTTTTTTCCCAGTTTCCCAGTTTCCAAAATACTGCCAAAAACGCAAACTGGGAAACTGGGAGAACGTGGGAAAGTTCCAAACACAGCCAAAAACAAAAACAAAAACTGGGAAACTGGGAGACAAATCCCAGATTTAACTTTGTATCCCATAAATATATATATGTATAATAAAAAATACAACAAACTATTACAGCTTGTAGGTCTAGTCTCAAAGACCCCTGAACAACTTGAATCTCAAAAGCCAATTACCAAGTCAGAGATTCAATAAGTAGAAACATCCCAAAAGAGAAAGACTATAAAATTTATTTTATCATAATCTTCACCATTCTCTAGTAACCTGAAATGGTGGGATAAATACACAGAACAAGATAAACTGAACTAAGACAACAAGTTATTGAACAAACTCTGTGCAACACAAAGTGTAGCTAGCCATCAGAGTTCCGGATTGGGATTTAATAGTGAATCTCAATGGCCTAAGAAAGAACTCAGAGGACTGCGCTAGGAAGCACCTCCCAAGCTTAGAACCACAAGCTGTCCATAGATCAGAGTATAATATAAATAGAGGCCAAATCTGAATGAGAAAAGGAACAGCACCTGATTTTTACCCATCCTTGAATTAGACCAGAGTTTGGTAACAATTTGATAAATTTGAAGCTATATCTTTGATTGACTGGAGGTGAAAGTGGGTTGAAAAAAACTGGAGACTGCAACACAGGGCCAGCTTTATAGATTTACGGACTGGTCCAGCAATGACAATAAACACTGGAAGGAATCAGTGGTTGAAAGAATAATTTAGATCTGAGGGGCTGACAAGTAAAATCAAAGCGGATGAGAAACATGGTGGCAGAACATTCAAATATATTGAAGTTTCATCAAATGTCAAAAGGTTCAAGGTTGGATTGAAAACAAAGAAGCCAAATGAAATCATTGAATCAGGTTGGAGAATGGCTTATTTCACTTGGTTTGAATGGGAAAAATGGTGCTTCCAACCATCAAAGTAGACTTGAATCAAAGCCAAGGAATGAAATGGTGGTTTCTGTCCTAACCATTGGAAATATTTTTGACTTAGAAAGGATTTTACTAAACGCAGCCCCCCCCTTGTGAAGCTTGACCACCCCCTTTCACACTGTATTTCAATTCAAAATCTTGCATATCCCACACAGGGAGCGGTCTAGAGCTGTATTCTCCAAATAAGCCAGGAAACAAAGATTTGGGAGCAAAACCAAGTGAGATACCAACCTTGACAAACCTCCACCATAATGAGATGGTCAAGACTCAAGAAGGACTCCATACTATGCACCAAGGAGTTTTGGCTGAGCATGCTTCACTGGGACATGCCATAGCCAGTGCGTTTGAACATCCAATCATCTAGAAATTTGATCAATCTAGCTGTTAGAAATGCCTTGCAATCAGATTCAAGGCAAAGACACTCTTTGTTAACAAAACTTCCGTGGCAAGTAGCTTACAAAAATCATGTTTGTCTTGAATAGCAAAGCAGTTTTTGACTAGAAGAAATCTTCTCATTGAAGGAGGTACGTTTCCCTCACAGCCACAGAAACACATGACTGGTCTGAGCCTCTACCAATGTTGAGGACAAAGATACTCAACGATATCAATGATTACACAGGTTCAATAACCCAAACCAAAGTCAGAATCAAGATGCTACATCCACTGTTAATGTTATCACTGTGTTGCATCAACCAATCTGAGACCACTGCAAACCAAATTATGTGTATCATGACTGGTTTCAATTCACCTGAATTTTGACGGTCCAAGACCGCCCCCTTCTCATCCCATGTTTGTATTATACACTTGTACTTTTCTTTTCCCCGGCTAAAAGGGGGTGGTTAACCCTTGCAAGGGGGGGCTGGATTTAGTAAAATCCTTTAGAAAATGCAAAGAGACAATTTAGCTTTTGAACTTGAGTTTGAGCTTGACAACTTTGTGTGGCAGCTCATATTGTTCACATCCCAAAACCATGTGAAACAATATCAATGCTGTTCCACTACTGCCCAAGCCATGGCTGTGTGCACTGTGTAACATTGCACACAGCCACAACATAATCTTGCTCAGACACAATATAATGGTTCATTATCATTATGAACCATATATTGTATTAAAAGACCTACTGCCCAAGTCATGGCTGTGTGCATTGTTTTACACAGTGCACACTGAGAATGAGCCCTGCTACCCACAGGGTTGGGGATCTCTGGCTTGTGTACCATTGATACGGTGCTTCAGGCTCAGTGTCTTAACTCCCCATCTCTGTACCAACTCTGACAAAGCAGGAGCCGGGCTGGAGTACAAGAATCCCTGGTTTTTATTGAGCAAACAAGCTACTGTAAATATAGCACAGTGGTATGATATCAAGGGCAGATAGGGAGAATAGGCAAGGAAGGCCTAATAACAACTCATAAACAGTCATGGGAGATTAAAGTTGTTGAAAATCAAACAAATAAAAGAAAATGTGCTCGAAACGAAAAAAAGATGCTGCCCAGAATCCTACGGATGGAAACAGCACCCTGTGTCGAGGTAGGAGCCGCTGCGGTCATACCGGGGCCATAGCGATGACCTATTCATCTCGATACTTTGCAACCGGCCCCTCCGGTCCATAATGGCTGCATACCAATACGTCCACCATGTGTCAATACGCTGCCAACGTAATTCGTGTCATCGTCAATGCCCCTTCAGCCCTTAATCATGTACCTATTGTTTTACCAAAGAAACCTTTGTCCCTGATGCATTAATCTTTGCACAAGGTGTAAGCCTGCCACCGTGATAAAGATTCTGAAAAGGGTCTAATTACACAGCGGCATCTGCAATGTTTACCAACAAACGTGGCTCAAAACCGAGTCATGACAATCCATAATGACGAATAAGAACAAAAACTGGGCAAGCTGAATCGCCTTGGTGGTCAACTCGAAGTATGGCATGGAGACAGTATTGGCCCATGGGCCGAAACAGTCACTTGCAGCGTAGACACTATCGCCGTGTCAAGAGGGACAATTGACGACGGTCAACCTGCGTCACATACGTAAACGTAACGTTATGCTTGGCCGACTTATCTAAACACTGGGTCGGGAGGGCGGCGGGCCGCCCACGAGACTCTAGTGAGGATAAGAAAGTATTTATCAACACAGACCCTGGAAACTTTAGAGAATGCTTGCTCTCCCAGGCTTTACCGGCTAAGAGCATCTCCAACGGCACCTTGTAAACGTAACGATACGTAAGCTGTATGTTACGTTTACAGGGTTGGGTTCAAAAAATGTACCTCCACCGGTACCCAGTT